AGTAGAGACGGAGGTCTTGCTCTTTCTCAGGCTGGTCTCGAACTCCTGACCTTGAGCGATCCACCCGCCTCGGCCTCCCAGAGTACTAGGATTACAGGCGTGAGGCACCGTGCCCGGCCTTATTTTTATCTTTTTTTAATACCTCTTCTGACGTGCAGTCTCCACATGATGTTTGTGTATTTGCGTATCATTTTTCTGTTATACTCTGTTGAGAGGAAGAAGAATTGGAAATGTAAATGGTTTTATAAACACATTTTTCCTTGTTATTATAAAGACCTACTTAATATTCTGATTTTGAGATTTTCCCCACGTATTTGGATAAGTTTGATGTAATTGACAGCCTTCCAGGAGTGATGCAATTATCCCTTTCATGGTCTTCCTCCTACTGTGCTTATTTGTAGAATAAATTGTCATACTGAAGGCAATCACATTATTAAACTAATTTTACAGAAAAATAAAGCAAACAATTCAGACAACAATCATTCATTCACTCAAAAAATGGATTGAGCTGGGTGTGATGGCTCATACCTGTAATCCCAGCATTTTGGGAGGCCAAGTTGGGAGGATCACTTGAGGCCAGGAGCTCGAAACCAGCCTAGGCAACATAGCAAGACCCTGTCCTACCAAAAAATAAATTAGAAAACTAGCTGGGTATGGTGGCACCAGCCTGTATCCCCTAGCCACTTGGGAGGCTGAGGCAGGAGGATTGCTGGAGCTCAGGAGTTTGAGGTTACAGTGAGCTATGATCACACCACTGTACTCCAGCTGGGTAGACAGAGTGAGACCCTGTCTCTAAACAAACAAACAAACAAACAAACAAACAAAATACATAGGATATCTACTATCTACCAGGGGCTATGTTAATCACTGGATGATTGAGACACGATCCTTGTCCTCAAATTTAACACATAATATAATGTGATAGGTGTTATAATAGAGATATAAACAAAGGCTTATAAAAGCACAGAGGAAGGAGTGACTTAATTTCCCTGGAGTTGTTGGAAGTTGTTTTACTAAGAAGCTAAAGTGTTCTTAAAGGTGAGTGTGAGTTTTCCGTATGAGAAGGTATGAAAGGACAGAGGGAACAGCATGTGCACAGGCGAGGAGGACATGAAGACTGAATATTGAGTGTATGTTTGTGGAAGGAGAGGGGAAACGGGTGATGACTCCAAAGAAGTAAGCTGGGTACAATTCTGGAAGGCTATTGTGTGAATGCCAAGGAGTTTTGTCTCGTAGTCCTCTCTAAATTCTAACCATGTTTGCATTAGTAATATTTTTGTGTCCTTCATATTGTTCAAAGGGCAACTTGACCTTCCTACAAAGAAGAGATATAGCTGCAAGATTTGTCACCTAGTTTATCTGAACCATCAGGCTCTGGGACTGCAGGCATTAGACAGAAGGAAATCACTTAGGAATGAGAAGGCTAGGGGATATGTGGGCGTAGGAGACTGATGACACCACGACAGAGAAGTGCTGAGCACAGTTTTTTGCTTTGAAAAGGTCAAACTTTCTTAGCATTCTGAAGTTCTCTGAAGCTAGGAGCAGGCAACCTACTGTATTCCTCACATTTCAGAAGGATAAAGGGCCATGTATGTACTCTGTCACCTTGTGGGAGGTTTAATTTGAGAATGATGCTTTTTCCTTCTGTTTGCTTAGTAGGAATTAGCACAGCTTTCGGGACTTAGCATCAAGAAGTTCCAGGGCTGAAAAATCCATCTACTGCTCGCCTAATTCTATGTTTTGTGGATAGATTGGATGATTGCTACCTTTTTA